TGATGACGATCTGATCCAATCATTTCTGGACACAATGGAGAAGACGGGCGCAGACTTTACTAATTGTTTCCGAGCCCTCAATATACTAACCGTTTGCGGTCTCGAGAGCCATAAGAAAAGTGTCAAAGATTTAGAGACAGAACTGATATCTCAATGCAGTTCTTTAGAAGAGATAATCGATGCCAACGAATCTAGTTTTGATTCGCAAGAATTTCAGTTGTTTTTGGTTTTGTTGCAAACGAATCCACAGCTTTTGGAAATGTTAGGCAAAGGACCCAAAGCTATAGAAAGGGTTTTAGCGAAGATGGAGAAGACTAAAGAATTAAAAGTAAAACAACTGTTTATCCATTAATTTTCACTTTCATTAGTTTAACACTCATTTGATTTCAGACAATGACTTCGGAACAGAAAAGAAATGAAGATTCAGAGCACTGGGAGAAATGGATTGACAATTATGTGAATCGCATTGAATATGACGTGAAAGAGTTTGCAAGCGATTTGCAAGAACTGCAAAATCATAACAACAAACGCCTTAAAGTAATGAATGAAAATAATCCGAAATATGTTTTACGAAACTATTTGGCGAAAGAGGCCATAGAGAGGGCAGAAGCGGGAGATTTCTCTAAAGTGAACCATTTGTTGAAGATCTTGCAAAACCCGTACAATGAATGCTGTGATGACACCAATCCAGATAAGAAGGACTACTGCAAAAGGCCTCCTCTTTGGGCCAACAGACTTAAGGTCTCCTGTTCTTCATAAACCCATACAATCCCTCACTTCCTATGCTTGTAATAGGAATTTACATTTTACTACAATATTGTAATACTGGTTGCAAACACTCCACAGTTTGACAACATATAGCCGTAATGTTACCCTACTGTACTGTACTAACTCAAGAATATTCCTATGATTTTGTTTTACTTTCTGTACTGTATTTTAAAATATTCAACATAACGTATAGACTTATGCGTACAAATGAATTTACTACTCTTTCTCTGAATTTATACAAATTTTTATAACTTGAACCTAATTTTTAAGATCTGATTCAAAATGAATGCAGACTTCTATCAAGAAGTGTTGATATGGTTACCGCAGTTGATATGCATTAGAACCGGATTGTGATATGAATTAAATGAAGACTTTGTTGAATGCCTTAAGAATTGTATATTTGTTGAGTGATTGAAGAAATGAATAAATAGAGCGTTGAGTAGTTGAGAAGGAAATGGAGTTAAAATCGTGAATCGGATCATGTATTTTAAAGTGGAAATGGTTTTGAAATAATTTAACAAAGAATTTGAATCAAAATTATATATATTTTATATAAATTTGTTAATTAAATGCCAGATTTGGCACAATTCCTCATCACTTCGAACTCATTTGATATCTCATTAAACGAGAAATTATTGCTAAAAGGAAGCGAAGAGAAAGTGAATTTCAAAACCAATACAAAGTCAATGAATAGTTCGCGAAGACGTGACATTCAAAACCAATTGCAGCGAAAGATTTACGAAAAGGAAGCCATAAGAGAGCAAAAGAGACGAACAGATCTCAAGTGTTTGGATAACAACTCAAAAGTGATTCAAAGTTCTGCTCCGAAACCGATCCGTAAGAATCGCAAGAATAGCGCCTCGAAATCAGATTCGTTTGAATCGATAACTTCTTCGTGTCTACAAAATGCAATCAAAATCAAAAAAGAGCCCGAATTTGATTTCACATCCACTTTAATGGCTAATAAGCCTCAAAATAAAGTAAGTTTTTGCTCACTTATTCTTGTATTTATAATTCATTTGTAATTTTTCTGATTATTAAAATGTTGAATTTGTATTAATTTCTAATATTGCAAAAATAATTATATTATTAAATATTAAACCAAAGGTTGCAATTCCACGAACGGTCACACCGTCTCGTATGACACAACCGGCCATTTCGAGTATAATACTGGTGCCCACGACTACTGTGAGACTAGGGTCGCCTCAAGCGGCTCTTTCCAGTGAAAGTACGGCCACATCGACAGTATCGACGATAACAACTTCGCCTCTTAAGCCAAACACTCCTAAATACAAACGAATTCAACCAAAACCAGTGAACATCTGTCGATCCGATTCCGAATCAGCCGTTTCTGCAAACAATTCAACCGAAATGTGCGATACATTCAGTTCTTTCGCTAAACGAAGGCATTCGGTGTCGGTTCCGATCAGCAAAGAAACCAAATTAAAGCAAATGGAAGTGTTTGGTGACAAACATTCGCAACCAAAGAGACAAATCGATGAAAAGGAGTCTTCAGTTTTGGCGACTAAGAAGAGACACATCGATAATATCAATACAATCAACACAATGGTGTCCAACAGTACAAACAGCAGTGGCTTCGATGACGCGAATTCAAGTACCAGTTTGTCACCCGTTTCTCAAGAATTGCAAACTATTAATAACATGGAAAGTGTCGGCGCTTCAGACATACGAATACAAGATATCGAGTCGGAAGCCTTCATGGATTACTTCAACGTAACGAATGGGAACAAAGAGCACTGGGAGGTCAGTAATGGTAATCAAACGGCACAACTCTCGCAATTACGAAAACTTCTTGAAAATCATTTGCCGAACCAATTGAGTAAAACCGGATCACAAAGAATGGGAGACAATGTTGCCCTCGAGGGCTACTCAGAGCTCAGGGAAGCGCTTCTTCGCAAGAATTTGAACAATTCGTTTCAAAGTTATGGCGGAATCAAGAATACCATTGATTCCAATGAACAAAATGTTGGTTCTGTTTGTCTGAGTGATAGCGAGTGTCCAAAGAACCCTCAAATTGATGGCACCGTTCGGCCCCCACTTTTACTGGATATGAATTCTTCGACTTCTGTCTCGACTGCAACCAAAGGCTCGCAGTTTGCAAACGGAGACTATTTCACAGGCAATGCATTTAGCAGTGAGACGACGACTAGTTTATACCATAACGTGAACATTCAGGTGCCTTCAGTGCCTCCGAGTCCTAACGCTCGCAGACGTGCATTCAATTTCCAGCCAATTTCGCCCCGAAATACGCCCACAATTCCAGAACACTCTGCCGTCGATACCATTGGTTACAATGGCTTTAGTTATGCTAATAATATGAGTTCTTCGCCTCAGTATCGACTCAATCAGCACACAGTGGGTGTGGGGCCGTCCCAACCATCGAGTGAAGCTAATAGTCCTTTCGTATCACCGAGAAGTACACCCGTAACACCAGTTACGCCAATCACACCATTACCTCTAATCAGATCTCGTCATAATAGCGGTCAAAGCAGTTACAGTACTTTACGTCAAACCCCTCTCCAAACCCCTATCGATTCCGGTGTTTCATCCATTTCCAGCTCTCCATTCATTTCTCCGCAATCGACTCCACTTCCCATAAGTCGAGTTCGCGCCCAAACCGGAGTAATGCAGAGGAATATGAGTAGATCTCGACATAGTTCAGGACCGGGTGGGCCCACAACCACCAGTGGAATGACTGCTAGTTTGCTATGCAATCGAAGCAACTCTTTGTCGCCGATGATTGGCGACACCTTCACCAACGGAACTCTTGGATTGCATTGTTTGCCATTCGGTGAACACAATTCCACTCAAATGGCATCTTTGGTCTCCAATCTCAACAATAACGCGAGAACTCCGAACTCACCCCTCTCTCCGATGACAACCCTTCATAACACAGACATGAATCCAATGACCAGTGATCCCATGAATGGCAGCTCACACTTGGCTTTTAATCCGGACAACGACTGGCCCTCAAACAGAGTTAAGAATGGAATCAATGATAACTTGGGTGTCAATAGACAGAGACATTCGTCAAACCCTTATACCAGTGCTTCGACTTCAGTCACACCAAACACTTTGGAACACTTTTCGCCAGAAATCTTCTCTTATATGAAGAATTCAATGAATGGCGTGAATGGCATCCAATCGAGTAAAGCATTTCTCTTGAATCGCTGCCAATCGGTTCCCGTTGCGAACATGGGATTTGTGGTCAAAAATGGATGTCATTTGTCGCCATCAAGTAGTGTCGACCTTAACAACCAATTACTCGATGAGAGCACAAGTATTTCGAAGTCATATCCGGCGACACCTGTTTGCAGCCAACCCTTTCAATTCCCTCCTTCGCCGCCCTCTTCCACGAAACAGCAGATGGCTTTCGGTGGCGACGATATCTCAGGGAACGTCTTACAGAGTGGTCAGGACCTGATGGTGTCGGGCGTCCAACTCAGAGACACCAGTGCGTGGAACCCAACCATTGCCAGCACTCAGGCCAATGACAACGATTTGATGACAATGAGTGTCACAAACATTGGAACCAACTCTTCGAATGTCAGACGCAATCTGAACGATCTGTTGGCCGAACCTCCCGATGACTTACAGACAACTCTGGAGGACCTGCGGGACTGTGATAACGACTTCTCCAAATTCGCCCAACAATTAGAACTTGAAGCCAATGATTGCAGTTATGATGACTTGACTTGAATTCACTCCAATTCACTACTTCTCACAACAATTCAATGGATACCGCATTCATCGTTACGATACGATTATTACACTATAATTCTTATATTATTTTTTCATTCATTTGAACTACATTTGTGTTACTCAGGCCTTGCTTTCTAAATAGGCTTTGATTTGAGTTGAGATCTAAACTCGATTCTAATGATATGACTTCAAGTTTGATTCTCCAATGGGCTCGTGATATGTAAAATGTTTTCGATTTTGTGCATTTTTGCCACCGAATCAGTAATCATCACATTATTGACAACCATTTATTAGTTCATTCCTTTCGCCTGTTATTCGGTTAACACTTATCTTCACTTCTTCTCATTTACCGATAATTATATTCAATAATAAGTTATTCACTGAAGTCGCTCTCAATCACGACCATCGATGATATGCTTGCGATTTATATTGTAAATTAGTAGCAATTAATTAATGTTTCATTTATTTTTCGTTACGAATATCAGATTTTATATTTTAAATGCAGTGAAATTTCAAACTGGTTAACTACTCAGCATATACTGTACTTTACTGTATTTGCCAGTGATGGGCATGTCGTTCAATTGAAAATATTAATATATTGCTTACAAACTTAACTTATTATTAGAATATAATTAACGATTGACTGGATTTTATAATTTTAATCCTAAAATCAATTTGAATTTTGTTTGAATTTGTAGTGAAGTTAGAGTTCATCTCGTCTTTCACAATGAATTGACTTTATTTTGAGGATATTTTTCATAACTTTATATTCACTCATATCTTACACTTCAGTATTCGTGAAATTAGTTTATTTTAATTGATATTAAATGAGATTTACTTTAAAAGCGAAACATTATTTAGATATATAATGTATAAACGACTTTTAGCTTTCTAATAATTTTAATTGGAATCCAATGAATGTTTGAAATTTTAGCCGATTTTATTTAAAAAGAAATTAATTTCTACAATAATTTTACTGTCAAATGAGAGATCATATATTTTGAATGCAAATCAAAACTTTGTTATTAATAATTCAAATTGAGTTTTCAATGATTTTTAGAAGTCAACCGAGAATTAAACACTTTTGAAGAACAGACTAAAGGGTTTTACTCTATATTTTAGAGTTAGGGATATGTTTTGTCTTATTTTTATGTTTTGAAAGTAAAAGTGGTCTCAAAAAAGTACAAAACTGTGAATTCAATTTAAGATTGAATGCAAAACCAATTATACAATATTCAGTAAATGAGATAAAATTTGCTTTTATTATATTGGATGCAATGGTGTAACCAATTGTGTTAAAGACGTGGTGATCTCATAATAGCTGATATCGTCGCTTAAGACCTCTCGTGAGACATAATCTACAAAATCGATTCCCAAAGCGAAACAAACACTTAATTTCTTATATTTAACTGTAATCTCATTGTTAATTATGTTGTGTTTGTTATATTTGTTTTATTAACACATTTTGCTTTACATTATATGAGCTATCAATTGAACCGTCGATTTGATAGATAACTTGTATTAGTTTTTCGCAACTTTTAGTTTGACGCTATTTATCGAAATCTAATTTTCATATAAAACAAATACAAATACAAGCAAATGATTGTCAACATTAAACACGAGCCGCTCTTCAAATGGATTTCTATGAGAATATATTTGAAACAAATATATGATTGGAAACTATTTTTGAACCATTTTCAACACAAATGTCATGTTGAAAACGCACACATTATTACTACAATTAATACTTTTATTCAATTCTAGTTATTATACATTTTAGTATTTGTTTAACAAATTATATGTAATTATGGGTACACTTTGTGTTAATATCTGTTGTAATTATCTTCTTTTTCTAATGATATTCTGCTAAACATTCAAAGCATTGCTGCTCTTTATAAGTGATTATTAGTCTCTATTAGTCTTAAACTAATATAATTAGAGCTTCTCTTGACTCGGAATAAGCTATTTGTAGTTATTTGTAGTTATTATTAATTAAATTTAATTACTAGTTACTGTCAAAATCATGTTTTCCAACAAATCATCACTGATTGACGCAAATGACACTTTTATATTTGAATTTTAAATTTAGTTTTTAATATTTCTTCAGTTATATATCATTACAAGACAAACTTAACGCTATTCATAACATTACAGCCAATCATTATATTAATTATGAAATTCTTGTCGAAATCATGTCTATATATAAGTTAAACAACAAATTATTCTTTGTATCAATTAATTGTCATTTAATTAGTCGTCAATTATTGTCACAATTATTATATTAATTCTAAACATTCTTATAATTTTGTTATCACTTTTATGTTTAAATTAGGTTTTAATTAACAAATTTATATAAAATATATATAATTTTGATTCAAATTCTTTGTTAAATTATTTCAAAACCATTTCCACTTTAAAATACATGATCCGATTCACGATTTTAACTCCATTTCCTTCTCAACATTAATTAACAAATTTATATAAAATATATATAATTTTGATTCAAATTCTGTGTTAAATTATTTCAAAACCATTTCCACTTTAAAATACATGATCCGATTCACGATTTTAACTCCATTTCCTTCTCAACGCACTATTTATTCATTTCTTCAATCACTCAACAAATATACAATTCTTAAGGCATTCAACAAAGTCTTCATTTAATTCATATCACAATCCGGTTCTCATGCATATCAACTGCGGTAACCATATCAACACTTCTTGATAGAAGTCTGCATTCATTTTGAATCAGATCTTAAAAATTAGGTTCAAGTTATAAAAATTTGTATAAATTCAGAGAAAGAGTAGTAAACTCATTTGTACGCATAAGTCTATACGTTATGTTGAATATTTTTAAATACAGTACAGAAAGTAAAACAAAATCATAGGAATATTCTTGAGTTAGTTCAGTACAGTCGGGTAACATTACGGCTATATGTTGTCAAACTGTGGAGTGTTTGCAACCAGTATTACAATATTGTAGTAAAATGTAAATTCCTATTACAAGCACAGGAAGTGAGGGATTGTATGGGTTTATGAAGAACAGGAGACCTTAAGTCTGTTGGCCCAAAGAGGAGGCCTTTTGCAGTAGTAGTCCTTCTTATCTGGATTGGTGTCATCACAGCATTCATTGTACGGGTTTTGCAAAATCTTCAACAAATGGTTCACTTTAGAGAAATCTCCCGCTTCTGCCCTCTCTATGGCCTCTTTCGCCAAATAGTTTCGTAAAACATATATCGGATTATTTTCATTCATTACTTTAAGGCGTTTGTTGTTATGATTTTGCAGTTCTTGCAAATCGCTTGCAAACTCTTTCACGTCATATTCAATGCGATTCACATAACTGTCAATCCATTTCTCCCAGTGCTCTGAATCTTCGTTTCTTTTCTGTTCCGAAGTCATTGTCTGAAATCAAATGAGTGTTCAACTAATGAAAGTGAAAATTAATGGATAAACAGTTGTCTTACTTTTAATTCTTTATTCTTCTCCATCTTCGCTAAAACCCTTTCTATAGCTTTGGGTCCTTTGCCTAACATTTCCAAAAGCTGTGGATTCGTTTGCAACAAAACCAAAAACAACTGAAATTCTTGCGAATCAAAACTGGATTCGTTGGCATCGATTATCTCTTCTAAAGAACTGCATTGAGATATCAGTTCTGTCTCTAAATTTTTGACACTTTTCTTATGGCTCTCGAGACCGCAAACGGTTAGTATATTGAGGGCTCGGAAACAATTAGTAAAGTCTGCGCCCGTCTTCTCCATTGTGTCCAGAAATGATTGGATCAGATCGTCATCACTGAGAAGGTCTCCATTTGTTTGACTCAAACTCACAAATAAACCAAATTTCTTCAGCATTTTCTCCTTGTATTCAGTGCTATAAATGCTGTAAAAGTTATTTTCGAGAATTTCTTTCGTCTCATTCATGGGTACAATGGGTTGAAGCGCTTCCGCGAACTTAAAGAGATTCCATTTACAGATTTCCGGCTGTTTTGCATACGAATACCGGCCCCCTTCGTCAGACGTATTGCACACGTGGTCCCAATCAAAGCGATCCAT